CCCCCCCCCCCCCGTTTTCTACACTTTAACCTCTATGCAACCCATAAGGCAATGCAAAGTTTCCAAAAACAGGAAACTGCTATCATACATTACTACTGTTGTGTAAACTCGTAAAAAAAGACAAATGTACATGTAGTTATTTTTTATTAATGAAAAAATTTTCTAGCTCTCTTGAAATTCAAATTGAGAGGGTTAAAGGATAAATAAAAGGAATTGTTTGTAGTCTGATGCCCTCCAAGAACCCAAACTATCGAGAGTTTTACAATGGATGAAAAGAGCGAGAGAATAACCAACTGATTTACCAACAAGCTGTACACACTATATTATACTTTCCTTTCTGTTTCATGTCCATTAGCAGCACAGACATTTCATTGATCAAAGTGATTAACAACATAACCACCAAGCAATGTTCACCAATTTTTCAAAGTGCTTTTTAGAATTGTAAAAAGAGTGTGCCCCGATTGTATAAGGGTACAAATTGTTTAAGTCTCTTTTCTCTACCATAAGCCAAGTTAAAGCTCATCTTTATCTTGCTCCTCTTCAGGCTTCTCCTCAGGTGGAGGAGCTCCCTCCCCACCTGGGCCTCCTTGTCCTTGGTACAACTTACTAACAAGAGGTTGAACAATGTCTTCAAGCTCTTTCTTTTGCTTTTTGTAATCTTCTGCCTCAGCATCAGCATTCTTATCAAGCCAGGAAATCTTGTCCTCTACAGCTTTGTTGATTGTTTCTTTGTCTTCTTCGGAAAGTTTTCCACCAAGCTTTTCTTTATCGCCAACCTGGTTCTTCAATGAGTATGTGTAGCTCTCCAACTCATTCCGTGCTTCCACACGTTCCTTAACTTTCTTGTCGTCGTCAGCAAACTTCTCTGCATCATTTACCATACGCTCAATATCTTCTGGAGACAGCCTGTTCTGGTCATTGGTGATTGTGATCTTCTCCTTGTTTCCAGTGCCCTTGTCCTCTGCCGACACTCTCAAGATACCATTGACATCAATTTCAAAGGTGACCTCAATCTGCGGTACACCACGAGGAGCAGGAGGAATTCCAGTCAGGTCAAATTTGCCAAGAAGATGGTTGTCTTTGGTCATGGGTCGCTCACCTTCATAAACCTGGATAGTAACTGTGTTCTGGTTGTCTGCAGCTGTGGAGAATACCTGTGCCTTCTTTGTTGGAATGACGGAGTTTCTGTTAATGAGCTTGGTCATAACTCCACCCACAGTCTCGATACCCAAAGTAAGGGGATTAACATCAAGAAGCACTACTTCTCCAGTATCTTCTTCTCCACCCAATACTCCGGCCTGAACAGCTGCTCCATAAGCTACAGCCTCGTCAGGGTTGATGCCACGGCTTGGCTCTTTACCATCAAAGAACTCTTTGACAAGCTGTTGGATTTTTGGGATACGGGTGGAGCCACCAACAAGAACAATTTCATGAATGTCTTTCTTCTGCAGGTCAGCATCTTCCAGAACTTTCCTCACTGGCTTCAGAGTGGATTTGAAAGCATCCTGCAAATATTAAGTGACATTACTATTAGAAACAATAACTAAAGCAACCAGTTGAAAGAGAAAAAGAGAAAATGAGTAAACATGCTTAACAGTGCCAGAAAATGTTTACATAAAATGTCAGAATCTTCACCAAGTATCTAACAATAGACTTACTTCTTTCAAAAGGAAGGACCCATCAAAAATGAAGGTGAACAAAATATCTTTCCACTTACATTATTTTCCTGCTCAAAGCGGGCTCTTGTCAAAGTCTCTGAGAAGTCCTCTCCATCAAAGAATGATTCAATTTCAATTCTAGCCTGGTGCTGTGTACTAAGGGCACGCTTAGCTTTCTCAACTTCACGACGCAGTTTCTGAACAGCTCTGTTGTCCTTGCGAATATCCTTGCCCTTCTTCTTCTTGTACATCTTGATGAAGTAGTCCATGATTTTCTGATCAAAGTCTTCACCACCTACCAAGATAAAGATACAGGATAAAAGTTAGAGAGGAGGAGTACTATAACAAATCAAATTCTACGAATTGAAAAGTAACATTTAATATCAAGACTTTTGACTTGCATTTTATTTTTGGCTGTTATTTGACCTTGTAAACAATTCAATACGATCTCTTTCAGAACTTTCCTTGATTGAAGTATTACCAGGGAAAGTTAACCATTCACCACAATCTTCATATCAAAGCAACTTACCAAGATGAGTGTCACCATTGGTGGCTACCACCTCAAAAACTCCATTGTCAATAGTCAGAAGAGACACATCAAAGGTTCCACCTCCTAGATCAAACACTAAGATGTTCTTTTCTCCCTCTTTTTTGTCAAGACCATAAGCAATGGCAGCAGCTGTTGGCTCATTGATGATTCTCATCACATTAAGGCCAGCAATGGTTCCAGCATCCTTGGTAGCCTGACGCTGAGCATCATTGAAGTAGGCAGGGACAGTAACCACGGCATGTGTAACTTTCTTTGACAAGTAGGCTTCTGCAATTTCCTACAAGATCAATAATTTCAGTTACATCAGGGCAAAAGAAGGAGTATGCCAACCAAATCTAAAATACTACAACTCATTTGTCAAAATTTGGAAACCTGGGGTTTATTACAATGCCTGTTTAAGGTCTAGACAACCCTAATTCTTCTTCCTCTCTTCCATAAGGTTCTTGTAAAGTTAGTTCAGAGAATTTGGTATTGGATCAACAAATAATCCCTTGACTGATATTTTCCTTTATTCTCATCACTTGTATGCTTGATATTACATCAATATTGTAAGGAGAAATTCTGTCTTAGTCACTCATGGGAGTTAAAGGGTTAAAAAACCAATTATAACTGGTGGGTCAGTTGTTGATGAATAATAGGATGAGGCTTTCCAAGAGATAAAACATAAACCACTAAATAATGTACTATTTTTAGCTTGAAGTGAATCTGATGCAAGCCAATCTATCTCATGCTCAACCTTATTTTGCCTTTGAACAACGCAGGACAACACTCTGTCATGAAATGATGAGGGAGCAGAACCATGGGTATCACTTTACCTGTTTTCAAAGTTAGTTGAAATTATGTGACACATATCAGGAAACTCGTATGTATTGACCCTTTAAACCCAAAGAGTGACTAGCATGCAATTCCTTGTCACAGTAATACTGCCAAGTCATTCACTGAGAGCATGAGAATAAAGGAAATGATCACCAACCCAATATGTTTTGATTATTTGACAAATTCTCCTCATCTGTACCCAAGGATATGTGTGGAGAAGATTTAGGAGAATATGGATAGTGATATTAGATTGTTAAGGGTTCATTTGAGTACCAGTAAAGCTACAGTGAAGACATTGGATACATGTGATAAAATAACCATCAATTTGAAAACCTAACTGAATAATTAAGTTAATGTTTATAAATAAATTTCCCTGAACCTGTGAAGTCATTATTTAAGATCGCAGCACCGGTAACCTTAAAAGGAATAAGCACCTTCAAGGGTCTAATGCTTGATTTCAAATCTTTCTACAACATTTTTTAATTTTTTCCCCTTACCATCAGTTGATCTTACCTTCATTTTCGTTAAAACCATAGCACTGATTTCCTCAGCTGCAAATGTTTTCTGTTCTCCCTTCACCGAAATCTGAATGTGTGGCTTCTTGTTCTTTTCGATAACTTTGAATGGGAAGAACTTGATGTCACCTTGAACAGCTTTATCATCCCATGTCCTACCGATCAACCGTTTCGCGTCAAAAACAGTATTTTCTGGATTAGTAGTCAGCTGATTTTTCGCTCCATCACCAATGAGACGCTCGTTCTCTGGAGTGAAGGCCACGTAAGATGGGGTAATTCGGTTTCCCTGTTCGTTTGCGATGATCTCAACTCTGCCATTTTTAAATACACCAACACTGCAACATTGAAAGAGATATAATTTAGGACTGAGTATAGTGAAAATCAAAGATTACGCAATTTACACCATCGGTTTAAAGCTACGAGTCCCCCACTGTAACATTCAGGACATGAAAAGAAGTTCAACCGAAGAATCAACCTTTAGCGACTTTTCCGAGACTGAACGCTTCGGAGAGATAACAAGAAAACGATCGAATACTAGAGAAAAAAAATTCACTTCAAGATTCCCACATCAGTTACTTTACTCACCAAGAATAAGTTGTTCCAAGATCGATACCAATTACAGTTCCTACATCCTTTTTGCCGTCTTTTTCTTCCTTTTTTGCTTCTTCTGCGTTCACTAAAATTAAACTGCTAGCTAAGGCTAACGCACAGAATGTGCAAATTGATCTCATCTTTGGAATCTAGTTGAATTTTTCTTCCGACAACTCTGATACAGTTCAAACTCTCAGAAAACTACACAAAATTATTGACAAGGAAGACTCGAGCCGGTTGATATTTCGCTCGCCATCACGCGTGGCCCTCACTGATTGGCCAAGCTGCTTCCTGGTGGCCTATTCTGATTGGTCCACGCCATAGAGTTTCGTCATTTTGCTCGGATGAAGTTCGGTTGTCGTGTCAAAGCAAGAGTTTGCCACAGCTTACTTCCGGTTTCCCTGAACCCCCAAAATGACTCACAAGTCACGTTCAAACTGAAAAACGAATTGCATGTTCATCAAATAGCTTTATTTTGTCTCACTTCAAACGAAACATGCGTGATTTTCAAATAAAATAAAATTTCTCGGGGCGAATGTGATAGAATTCTTTTTCAAGGAAGATAAGGAAATATTAACAGTAAGATCATTTTTCTACGATGAATCTTCGGCTTTTTCCGGTAAAATTCGTTGTTCACCGGGACGATGATAAGTGATGTGTGGAAACGAGGTTTAACGTACAAAGCGCGGCCCACGAGGTTGTAAGGTACGACTTGAGGGTGAATGGCAACAAGTAGATGTAGTGAACTGCTTTAAAATATTGCTTACTTTTGTGCGTGATATCTGTTCAAGACCTCAACTGCTCGTTAGAAAAGCGTAGACTCATACTACGCGCTGTTTCGCCCCATTTTTAAATGGGGTGAAACTTAAAAGTCTCAAGGTCGTTTCCAAGATGGCGCTCCAGCTCCCCTATTGATAACCGACGCAAGGTACTATATATTGAAGCCGTTATAAGTTGATTGATGTCATTGTTGCTAAAGGTGTATAAAATTTTTTATTTGAACTGTCTTTTGTAGTTACCTAAATTGAAAAAAGTTTCAGTGTAGATTGTCCCGTTAATGAGCACATTAGACCAAAAGCACGTGGTATCACGATTGATTAAATGAAATGCAGGGTACGAAGTTGACCATTTCGTTTATCTTAAACAGTCGTTTTCAAAGGTAAATGAACTCTCTCAAGTATTGTTCGCCATAATCATGAAACTCTTTCCCAATGATAACTAAGAACCAGATGGAAAGATCATTGAGATTGTGGTGATAACTGTGATAGAATGAAAACAATCACGGCATCAAGCGAGAACAGTGAGTTGACTGTGTACCAGTGATGAACTTGTTAAATGGGAATCTCTCTTAGTGCGTCAGTGAAGAGAATCATGACTGTGTTAACTGAAGGTACACTTTTTCTGTCCTTCTAAAAACAGCCCCACTTTAGTTTTTTTACTCTTTGAAATTTGAAATACATACTTTATCCTATTAGGTGAAAACTCCAGACAACTCTTCCTAAAAGGTAAGTTCTAATACTTTGATTAAATGAGCTATTTTTAGTAGCAAAGACAGTTAATTTGTGCATTACATGTCGTACCACTGTTGCAAGACTATGACATGGTGAAGCATATCCATTAAGCGGGTTTCAGTTTTTGCAGACAATCTATCTCATGCAAACAGTCCTTGATCTGCAAAAATCAATTCCAGCAGTATAAAATTCAGCAAAATAACACACTCCAAAATTGAACCATCCCTAATCAAATGAAAAAATTGGGCATGTGAGTCAGGTGTCAGTAAGTGTTATTATATTTAGATTTGCTGAAAGTATCCCTATACTTCTATAAAGCTGGCTACTGTATGATTTGACAAGTCAGGAAGTTGGAATATATTAGGATTCCTTCCCTCTTAATCTTCTTCTGCTTGAAGAGAAAATGGAAAAAGAGTTCCTAGCAAAAATTTCAGTTATCTTGAACTTCAGT